TCTCTCTCTCTCTCTCTCTCTCTCTCAAAATACAAAATAACAATTTTTCTGAAAATACAAAGTGATAATTTCTCTCTCTCTCTCTCTCTCATCTGGGGGAAAAAGGAAAATGTTTGGAAACCATCACATGAAAAAGTTTTCCATCACATGAAAAAGAACTGAAGATTCCTGTTATTTGAGCAGGCAACAAATAAAGAGTTCATCAGTTCAACTGAAACATACAGAGACATCCATACACACAGGTTCCTGAAACAATGAGAACATCTTATTACAGACAAACTAAGGATTTGATGGGGATCCATTGCCAAATAACCAGGAAACCACCACCCCCAATTCAACACAAAACTTTCTCTGATCTTTTTCAGCCTTATGGCCAAACCTTAGCTAAAAATAGCAGAGGAATAATAATAATAATAATAATAAGCACAAAAAACCCAGTAACAAAATCAGCAGGATACACTTCCCTCCCACACTGATCAAACACATCCAATAATGGCCATGTGTCACAGCAGGCAAGACCTTGCCCTTATTGTGAAGAAAATCAATATAAAAGATCAACAGCAATAATACATGAACAATGTTGAACCTTCTATCTCTTGCCTGAATAAAGAATTAAGGAACACTTCTGAGGGGCCAGACCATCTTCTTCCTGAATAAAACTACACACAGTGAGCCTCGTAGTTCTTTCGTGTCTCGCTATCTCTCTCCCCCTAAAATGAGCTTCTCCATTAAAAATCAGAAAGAGAACCACTGCGAACTGGACCTGAAAAAGAATGCTACAGAGCCTGCCCCTCTATCTACAGATTGCAGAATCCATCACAGCCACCATCATAATAACCCTTGCTTTATCTCACACGTGGTACCATAATTTGTAAGGGAAGCTCTCATCAATTTGGAAAATCCAAAAGAGAGCTCGCCAGATCAGTTACAGTCTAACCCACATTCTTCCAATACCGGGCCATCTGACCTGCTTAAGAAGGGGTCTATACGAACCCATAGGAGAGAGAAAATGGAGGCCAGAAGGATCGACCACACTATAATGATCGTGGGAGTCCTGTTTTGGCGGCCAAGAAGACCCTTTAGGAAAGGGTAGAGATGGACAATCACCCAAAAGGCAAAGAAGAGTTTACCAAAGAGAGGACCCCAAGACTCATAGCCATTATTGATAGCATTGGAGATACCAGCAACCACACCGATAAGGTTTATTATGAGGAGAGTTGTGGGGGGAATCAATAAGGTGGTCCATTTGAATGCATATAGTTCTGAGAATTCTGAATCATCCCCAGCCTTTGATGTCACAGTAAAGTTGGTATCTATACCTGCAAGGACCTTGAGCAAACCCTGGAACACTGCAAATAGATGAGCTGAGACACCCCCAATAACCCAGAACTGCTCATTTCTCCACCAGTCATCAATCCCAACACCACTCCATCTCATTTCGAGGATGCTTGTGGCGAAAATGCAGATGAAAAGAGACAAAAACCACAAGCTAGCAACATTGCTAAGCTGCAAAATCACAGTAAGAAATAACAATATATCATTACTAATTCACAGGAAAAGAAACATTGTTAACCAATTGGGTTTTTGTAACCAATCAATAAAACAAGAAGCATTTGGGGTTCTGACATTTGGGCTTTCGGGTTGAACCACAGAATGGCCCAGAAACCTTACATTAACCTATCATTATAAGTTCTTTTAAGTGATTCTACCAATTTGAGATTTTAAGACCACAATGAACAATGAAAACCAATTGGGCTTTTGAAATTCTATTATTTGGAGTTTGGGGTTTTCTATAATGGAGTAATGGAGCCCGTACCTCTGGTGTGATGAATTTTCCTGTGAGTAAGCACACAGCAGGAAGTGTGCAGTAAGCAAGAAGAGGGATTGATGTCCATGGATATACAGTAGCACCAATGTAGGATAGCCTCTCCAGCCATTTGAGACCACCTCCATAGCCATACCAAAGAGGGCAGTGTCTACTCAAGAAAATTTCAACTGAACCAAGAGCCCATCGAAGGACTTGGTTTAGACGATCTGATAGATTGATGGGAGCAGATCCCTTAAAGGCTGGCCTATTTGGGATACAGTATATGGATCTCCAACCATGACAGTGCATCTTAAAACCCGTCAAGATATCTTCTGTAACTGAACCATAGATCCACCCAACCTAGTAGAAAGAAGAAAAACCTGGGTTAGAGGCAAAATATGCCACAAAGAAAGAGGTGAAGGAGAAACGATGAAGGCCTTACCTCTTTACCCCAGTCTGTCTTGTCTTCATAACCACAGCTGATGACATGTATGGCTTCTTTCAGCAGGGAAGCGGGACTAGCACCTTTTAGCACTCCACCATTCTCAAGAAGAGTCGATGCAACAAATACCGGAGACTGCCCAAACTTCTTCTCCAACTTATGCTCAGACATTAGGGTTGACTTCTCACACTCAATACCTGCACAAATTTCACCCAGTTGAATTATTAACTGTCAAGATTTCTCATGCAAACAAGACAGCCTTCATGACACAAGAGAACATCATTTTATGAGAATGGAAAAGCAATATTGACTAATTTTTCTTTTTCTTTTTTGAGAAAAACTATATCAGTAACTAAAATATTGAATAAATTAGTTAGTAAACTATAAATGACAACAGAGTAAACTTTCTCATAACTGTTAATTGCTTCTTTTGTTTGATATGAAAAATAGCCAGTTATCTTTTGATAATTATGAACGTTCCTCAAGTCCCCATTTATTTTCTTCCAAAATCAGTAAGGACCAAGTCTAAAGCGCCAAGCAATAGGTCAATTCCTTAGATATAGCAAACGCAATTTGAACTGCGTTAACTCATAAGAAAGCCAACCTTCAATTCCCTCTTCTATACCCTCCAGAGTGCTGAACATTGGCTGCCCTGCATCACCCCTCCTAGAATTCTTCTTTTTCTTGTCTTGCTTTGGCTTGTTGAGCCTCTTCTTCTTCCTCCCTGAACAGCAACACCCACAGCAACACCACTTAGGCCAGCAATTGCAGGTCCTAGTGGGTGGCTTCTTGCTCTTTGGAGCATCATATCCATAGAGTGACTGCCTTCTAAACACGCATCCAGTACCAACATAGATAGGTCCTTGAATTCCGTCCAGACCTTTCATGTTAATCTGCACCATAAAACACATTAGCATTCCCTCTCACTTTATAAAGTTTATATCTCTACCGAGGATATATGCTTTCAAATGACTTTTCAGGCGAAATTCACAGTGAAGCCAAGTATTAGATAACTGACCATAGCTACTGATCTTTTGAAAACAAGAACAGAAAAGAAAATCACCAATAACAAATAATGCGCAAAGATAAGTAGAGGCCATAGCATATGGGATTAGAGAGCCTAAATGTCAACTTACATCAAAGAAGACAGTGTTGCGGTTAGCATATCGATCATGCCGATCAATTCCATCAAACCTCTGTGGAAACTGGACATAGCACACCTTCTTCCCCAACAGCGGATCCATCATAAAGCACATAGCCTCACGGAGAGCCTTACTGTTGTTGATGTAGTGATCACAATCCAAGTTCAAGAGATAAGGTGCATTTGTGAGCACTGCTGATACTCTAACCTGAAAGCATGTGGATCCAGTTTTTGTGGTAAGTACCATGCATAAAGCATAAGAAACTTTTACTTGTTTTAAAGACGACAGAAATGGACTTCATAGCTTACCAGAGCATTCATGGCTCCGGCCTTTTTGTGGTGATTAAATCCTGGTCTTTTCTCTCTGGAGACATAGACCAGACGTGGTAGTTCGTTTCCCTCAGTGTCATGCCCACCACTCTGGCCTAGAAACACCTGCATTTTCCCATAGCAGTTATTATTGGCATGGATCCCCAAGGGAAATTCCAACAAGAGAGAGAGAGAGAGAGAGAGAATTCAGTTATCAGAAGCTTCAAACTTCAAAAACACTGACCTGAATCATCCCTGGATGATCACGAACATTATTTCCAGGCCAAGGAGTTCCATCCTGCATTGTCCATCCTTCCTCGGGAACCTTTTGGGCCTTTGCAACCAAGGCATTGATACGAACCTTGAATTCCTCATACTCTCTCTGCACGCAAAATCCCATGTAACTTGCAAAGTTAACACCCATTTAGCAAAAACAAGTGGCCCATGCATTGGCCTAAAATAGAACAAATATAAAACAGCAGAATCCAGAAAAACTTTGCAAAACATTGAACGAAAGAAAGGAAACGAATGAATCCAAACCGAATTCAGTATGTGACCTTGATTAAATGTTTGAGATCATTTCCAAAAATACAAGGATATTTTGGCCCTCATGGAGATTCTGGCATGGTTATGTCAATTCTAAGAATATTAGTATAAATTGGATGACTTTACACACTATAAGAAAACTGAGGTGAATTTTAAAGCTTATCAAATTCCAGAGCTGTTGGAAAAGAAAATGTACAAAGGTATATTTAGGATTATGATTACCCATACTAAAGCACCTCAAAACTATTCCCATTTAAGTATTACATCTCACATAGACAGAAAGGAAAGAACTCAATTCGTTATATCAATTTGTGATATATATACCTTCATTGCCCGACGCTCTTTGACAAAAGATGGCAGAACTTTGTCTTTGAGATAATCAATCTTTTGCGCAAAGTACCACTCCGGTGCCCTTGGCTCAATATTGAACTTCTTGCAGAAAGGGACCCATTTTCTTGCGAATTCCGATGTTTCTGATAATGCCTCAAAAGTGAGCATGGCTGCACCATCATCAGAGACATAGCACGAGACCTTGTCCACTGGATAGTCCACAGCAAGAATTGAAAGAACGGTGTTTGCTGTGACCAAAGGTGGCTCCTTCAACGGATCCACAGTACTCACATATATATCAATGGGCGATAGTTGAGAAGGACGGCCCTCTTTCTCATACCTGAATGGAAAATTGGAAGCTTTTAGTTCGACTTAAATAGAACTGGAAAACCAAAAAAGAATTGGAGAAAGAGAGAGATGAAGATGACAAAGAACACTTACCTTAAAGACAGTCTATCAAGGTAAGTTTCTCGGTCAATTGGGAGCCACTTTGGGAACTGATCAAGAATCCAAGATACAGCAAACCAAACTTCACAAATGACAGAAATCAGCCATAGAGCATAAGCATCTTGAACGGGGTGCATCAGACGGTAGTGGAAGAAGAACCCGAGAACCACGAGCCGAATTATGATTATCATCCTGTATGGATTTATTTGGCTCGAAGGGATGGGTAATTTCCTTGACAATGGTTGCCGAGCTTCATCCATTCTGTA